CTCCTCCTCCTCCTCCTCCTCCTCCTCCTCCTCCTCCTCCTCCTCCTTTCCACAAATCTCACTTCTGCCATTGATGATGTCTCTTCATTTGGTTATGAAATATCTGCAAGAAGACAACCAAGTTCAGAGAGCATCAAAGGCCCCACGGTACTCCTCCTCCTCCCCTCCCCTCCTCAAACCCTCCTCTCTTGTAACACTGATCACGTTACCTAGTTGGGTAATGATTACCTATTTGGGTAAAGTCTGCAAGGGGCGTGTATAAGTGCACCATTGTGCCTAGTGTCCTATTGTCTCCATTTATTCGTACCTATTTCCTGTTAGATAGCTATCTATACCTATTATCTTGTAAGCAATTGACATATCAAATAAATAAATGAAATAATAAAAAATAAATGAGATCTGCAAGAAAACAGCCAAGCTCAGAGAGCCCCAAAGACCCTATAATCATTGTCCTCCTCCTCCTCCTCCTCCTCCTCCTCCTCCTCCCATAAACTCCACTTCCTTCCAGCACTGATGATGTTACTTAGTTGGGTCATGAAATATCTGCAAGAAAACAACCAAGCTCAGAGAATACCACAGACCCTATAGTCATCCTCCTCCTCCTCTTCCTCCTCCTCCTCCTTTCCACACACCCCACTCCCTTCTAGCACTGATGATGTCTCCTCATTTGGTCATGAAACGTCTGCAGCAAAACCACCAAGCTCGGAGAGCACCAAGGACCCCTCACTAGACTGGTTAATTACATATTACAAGACTATTCAAGATTTAAAAATGTCAAAATGTAAACAATGGAGTCCGTCATCAAAGCCTCCCTTTGGGTCAGAACCATTTGTATTTAAAAACAGAGATCCATGAATGTTATAGAATTCTGAGTAAAGAAATATACAGGCCTCGGCCACACAAGGATGCGGTTAATTTTACGAACGTCAATTTTGAACAACTCATCGGGCCTCTTTCTGTCCCTATTTTTCTCCGTTATATTCTTGACTGTCCTAACGTGCCCTCCGTGATGGGTTTTCCAGGTAGGGACACACCTTGGATAGCAATCTCAAGGCGGGTTTGTGCAAATCCGCGCGACAGCTCTTTTGATGCCAAGTTTCCCCCATGAGTGCGGCAAACACTGCCTGCCATAAACAAACTTCTCTGGAGACAGCACTCTGCAGAAGCAAATTCACAACATCAATTCAGCGGCAGATGAGATCTGGGACGAGAGACTGATCCTTGATACTTTGTTTATTTTCTAATTTGGTCAAAATTTACGAAGGGGGGAGAGGGAGGGGGAGGGAGGGAGATAGAGGGAGGGGGAGGGGGAAAGAGGGGGAGGGGGAGAGAGAGTGTGTGAGATAGAAAGAGAAAGAGAGAAGGAGAAAGAGAGGGAGGGAGGAAAGGAGGGAGGGAGGGGGCAGGGAGGGAAGGAGAGAGGAAGTGAGATAGAAAGACAGAGAGGAAAGAGAAAGAGAGAAAGACAGAGTGAAGGAGTGAGGGAGAGAGAGAGAGAGAGAAAGAGAGAGAGAAAGAGAAAGAGAAAGAGAAAGAGAAAGAGAGGGAGGGAGGGAGGGAGGGGGAATTTTCTACAATTCCCCAGCCCAAAAGACAGACCCGAAACAAAGCAAATAGACTTTGTGTGGGTGGAAAATTTGCAAGTCATTGTTAGTAGAAGGTGGGAACCGAGGGGTATAGATTTATCATGTGTGTGGTTTGCATACACAGACGTTCCTCATTCTTTTGTGGGAACACACAACCCACTGGATTTGTTCGCAAATGCTGTGTCAAAATGCTGCCCAACCCTCTACTCTTCTTGAAATACCACCCAACTCCTTCAGAAAATTTAAAAAGTGGGGGGGATTATTGTCAGGTGCAAAGAACCAAAATGCAAACGTTAAGCTAACTACTTTATTGTGTTCTGCCTATAATACAGGAATCTCCCCAGTCTGTCAGCTTACCCTTGGGAACAATTAGATAAGGCTCCAGGGAATTTATAGAAGGGTGGCCCTTGGACCTTTTGCAGTTGTGCAATTGTGTAGCAACTCCAGGCTAGCTCTGCATTTGATCCTTCCTCCTTGTCAGGATGGGTGTTGCCCAAACAACTATATTTCATCTCTTTGGAAGCCACGGGTTATTTTTCAAAGCACTAGAAGGAAAGACACGTCCTGCCTTCCGATGCTTTGGAGAATAGGTTGACCCCACCTCATTTTATAAGATCGCTTGTAGACCTCTCATTGGCCCTTTACTTCATCTTTCACTATGGAACCCTTCATTCGGTTGGTAGGCCATCTTGTAAGTTCCAACTTTCACACTTGCATTGTACTTCCCACAAGCTTCCCGTAGAATCGTAGGGTTGGGGGCCTCCTAGTCCAACCTAGAATCCTCAGATCATACCAGATAAATAGCTGCCCAACCTTTGCTTGAAATCCTCCAGTGATGGAAACCTTACAACTCCAGGAGATAGGGTGGACTATGGTTTCTTTTAGCTGTCACAGTCAGGAAATTCTTCTTTATTTTGAGTTTGCACCTCCTTCCATATACCTTTGTTTGACTATACTCGTTGGTTCTTGTCCTACTCACGGGAACTATGGAGAATAAAATCATAGAATCATAGAGTCAGAAGGGACCTTGGAGGTCTTCTCGTCCAAACACCTGCCCAAGGCAGGAGACCTTACACCATCCTGGAGAAACGATTGTCCAACCTCTTCTTGAAAACCTCCAGTGATGGAATACCAACAACCTCTGCAGGCAAGCCATTCTATTGATGAATGTTCTCACAATCAGAAAATTTCTCCTTAATTCCAGGTTGGGTCTCCCTCCGATGAGCTTCCACCTATTATTTCTCTGGTAATTATTTTTCTGGTAATATCATATAACTAATTAGAGCATACAAAACATTTGCTAGACCAATACTTGAATACAGCTCATCAGTCTGGAACCCACATCATGTATCTGATATTAACACAGCTGAGAAAGTCCAGAAATATTTCACAAGAAGAGTTCTCCACTCCTCTACTCGTTGCAGAATACCTTATGCCACCAGACTGGAAATTCTAGACCTAGAAAACCTAGAACTATGCTGCCTTTGGTCCAATCTAAGTATAGTACATAAAATTATATATTGCAATGTCCTACCTGTCAATGAATACTTCAGCTTCAACTATAACAACACAAGAGCAAACAATAGATACAAACTCAAGGTTAATCGCACCAAACTTGATTGCAGGAAATACGACTTCAAGCAACAGATTAGTCGATGTGTGGAATACTCTACCTGACTCTGTGGTTTCTCCCACAAACCCCCAAAACTTTAACCTTAGACTGTCTACTATTGACCTCACCCCTTTCCTAAGAGTTCTGTAGTGGGTGTGCATAAGCGCACCAATCGTGCCTACCTTCCCTGTCCTATTGTTCCTTTTTATTTTTCTTATACGTGTCCATTTCATGTGTTCATAACTATGTTTATACTTATACCTATTATCTTGTAAGCGATTGACAAATAAAATAAATAAAATAAATAAAAATTACTTCTTATCCTGCTCTCTGGGGCTTTGGAGAATATGTTGACTCCCTCTTCTCTGGGACAACCCCAATTGGAAAATCAAGAGACTGATTCCATCCCTTTTGAATAGAGCCAAACAAAATTTTAAAAATGTTCTGTGTTCACCCATAGAAACACTCAGGATCAAACCTGGCTCCAAAATTGAGGCGGCGGATAGGAAGGGAACCTCCAGCTGCCGAGCCAGCAAACAAGGGTTTGAAATGTTGGTGTGTTGTTGTTGAAGGCTGCAGCAGAAACAATTAGTCCCTTGAGACACGCAGAACAAAACAAACACCTGTTTTTAATGGCTTTCGTGACAATTAACTTCCCAGCCTATTTGCTGCTTAGAGAAATCTGATCCATTACCTAGCTTTACTATCAAGTCAACACCACAACTGTCCTGAGTCACAAAACACCCTGCCCGGTTGCCACTGTGACATCCACGTGATCTAGTTTCTGGGCAACACCCCAGAAGGAAGTTTGCTTATTTATTTTTTTGCAAGAGGAAGTCGGTTCTTGGCGTGAAGGTAGAGGAGACCACACGAAGAGGAGAAGAGAGGAGAACGGGAGACAGTCAGAGAAGGAGAAAGAATTGGGAAGACTGGGGAAACCCTCCTTCCACCCTAAAGAAACATGGCCTGAGTTATTTCCAGGGGTAAGTCAAGATCTGCTTCATAACAGATTAACAAAGTTGGAAGGGACCTTGTAGGTCATCTAGTCCAACCCCCTGCCCAAGCAGGAGACCCTACACTATTTCTAACAAATGGCAGTCAAATCTCTTCTTGAAAGTCTCAAGTGATGATGCTTCCACAACTTCCAAGGGCAAATTCTGTTCCATGGGTTGATTCTTCTCACTGTCAGAAAGTTTCTTCTATTTCCAGGTAAAAACTCTCCTTGTTCAGTTTCCATCCATTATTCCTGGTCTGACCTACAGGTGCTTGAGAAAACAGGTTGACCCCCTCCTCCTCTCTGTGGCAGCCCCTCAAATATTGGAGGACTGCTATCCTGTCTCCCCTGGTCCTTCTCTTCACTAGACTAGCCAAGCCCAGTTCCTGCAACTGTTCTTCGTATGTTTTAGCCTCCTGTCCCCTCATCATCCTGGTTGCTCTTCTCTGTATTTTTTTAGAGTCTCAGCATCTTTTTTACATTGTGGTGACCAAAATTGGATGCAGGATTCTAGGTGTGGTCTTGCTAAGGCTTTATAGAGTGGTATTAGTACCTCACTTGATCTCGATGGTATCCCTCTGTTAATGCAATTTAGGATTGCATTGGCTTTTTTGGCTGCCACTGCACCCCACTGGCTCCTATTTAGCTGGTTGTCCACCAAGACTCCAAGATCCCTCTCCCAGTTCCTGCTGTTAAGTCTGGTTTCACCCAGTCTATATAGGTACTTTTGGTTTTTCTTGCCTAAGTGTAAGTTTCCGTTCTAAGGAGGGTTTTCATATATACTGTATATATTGTATATGTGTGTGAGAGAGAAGGGAGTAGGGACGAGGTGGGATGGAGGGACAACCTAATCCGAGGCTTGGAACAACTTGTTGCTCTGTAGAGGAAACTCTGTGTGTGTGTGTGTGTGTGTGTGTATGTTGTTCCAAGCCTCAGATTAGGTTGTCCTTCCACCCCACCCTATCCCTACTCCCCTCTCTCACACACATACACACAGACGTATTTACACCAGGGGTGGTATTCAAGCGGTGTTACTACTGGTTCGGCGAGAGTGCATTTTGGTAACAAAACATCTGCAGGAAAACCCAAAGGTGCTAAACCCAAAGGAATAAAAGGGGCTTCCCCTGTTTTTTATGACTGTGTTTATTTTGTATCCCACCCTGGGTCATCACACCAAGGATCCTTCAGGATCCACAACTCAGGGCTGGTTTTAAATCTTTAACCCAACCCTCGCTCTGATAGCCAGCAACCAGGAAATGCTTTCAAGATTAATTGTCGCCAACTCTAAACACCATGGCCAAATCCAAGATATTAAAGATTTGCAAGATTGTTGACTTGAGTTACCATTTTGTTCCGGGTTCAGCAAATACAGGACTTCCCCAGATTAGATCAAAGTACAGGAAGTCCTCGCTTATAGTTCATTTAGCGACTGTTCAAAGTTACAACGACCCTGAAAAAAGGGACTTAGGACCATCTTGTCACACTGATGCCCGTTGCAGCATCCCCAGGGCCACGTGGTCAAAATTCAGATGCTTGGCCACCGATTCATACTTATGACAGTTGCACTGTCCCTGGTCATATGATACCTCTTTTTGCGACACCCCCTCGCCCCCAACGAACAAAGTCAACGGGGAAGCCAGATTCACTTAAAAACCCTGTTATCAATTTAACCGCTCCAGTGATTCGCTTAAAAACCGTGGCAAGAAAGGTCATTAAGTGAGGCAAAACAAGGTCTCGCTTGGCAAAGGAAATTTGCGACTCGGTTGTGTTCCAAAGTGGAGGACTACCTGGATTTGATCAAAAAAATATTTCCATTTTTTTTTTTGCAACATGGAGAAATGATCCATTAGTTAAACTCACTGCTCCCACCCATCCAGAGAGATCAATTTAGTTGTAGAATTTACTCCTTCTACCACAAGCAGAAAATTCTACATATGGTAGGCCTGACCTTTCCTGACCAACAAAGCCTTTACATCTGGGTTTGTTCAGGTGAGATGAATCTGGGGGGTTGCTATGTATTTCTCCTCACTTTCTCTCTCTCTCTCTCTTTTTTTTCTGGTTTCTAGCCTGCAGGTATGTGGCAGAAAAAGTCGGTGCCTCCTGCTGTTGCTTCTGCTGTAACAACGATAGGGAGAATTTAGACTCTTCTGCTGAAGGAAAAGGTAAGAGAACGTGGGAAATCTCTGCTGGGGGTGAGAATAAAATGATAGACAGTCAAGGCTGGGCCAAATGAGCCCTCCAACTTCATTTAAAAAACTGCTTCCTTCCTTCCTTCCCTGCCTCCCTTTATCATCCCATCTCCTTCCATCCTCCCTCTCTCCTTCCCTCCCTCCTTCCTTCCTTCCCTTTCTCACCCCATCTCCTCCCTCCCTCTCTCCTTCTCTCCCTCCTTCCTTCCTCTCTCTTTCCCTCCATCCTTCCTTCCCTCCATCCCTCCCTCTCTTTCTCACCCCATCTCCTTCCTTCCTCTCTCCCTCCCTCCATCCTTCCTTCCCTCCATCTGTCCATCCCTCCCTCCCTTTCTCAACCCATCTCCTTCCTTCCTCTTTCTCTCCCTCCTTCCTTTCCTCCCTCTCTCCCTCTTCCTTCCTTCCTTCCCTCCTTTCCTTCCTTCCTTCTTTTTTTCCTTCACCATTAAATACTGTAGACTCCCCAAAGCCCCAAATGACTCAAAAGCAGGCGCACACAAACAAAACCGTTACATGAGAGAAGCCAAGAAGGAGACTGGTTGTTGAAGGAATTTCCCTCTGCAAGGCCGAACATTCGTGTTCAGCTTTGAGTTTCATTCTAAAGAAAATGCAAAAGGAAGGGGCGGGGAGGAGAAGGAGAGAGAAGAGGAGAAAGGGAGACGAGAGGAAAGGGTACTGAATCATTCACAGGACGTTGTTGGGAAATATTGTTATGAAACCTGATGCAAATCTCTTTGGAGATGCATTTCTTCCTTCCTTCCTTCTCTTCCTTCTCTTGCCACACTGTCATAATTTATTTTCATATTTATTATCATTATTTCTCTTTCTCTCTCTCTCCCCTGCCTCCCTCCCTTCTTCTTCTTCCTCTTCTCTCTCTCTCTCTCCCTCCCCTCTTCCTCTTCTCTCTTTCTCTCTCCCCCTCCCCTCTTCCTCTTCTCTCTCCCCCTCCCCTCTTCCTCTTCTCTCTCTCCCTCCCCTCTTCCTCTTCTCTCTCTCTCTTTCCCTCCC